AGAGCACAAGTGAGAGAAAAAAAATATAATTCCTAAGGGCATGCCTTCAGTGACCTATATCCTGGATTCACACCTTACCTAACTAGATTTACCACCCAGATAATGCATTCAAATTGTTGATCCATCAAATGGATTAATCCACTAATGAGATTATAACTCTTATAATCTAATATCTTCAACTCTGAATATTTGCTCAACACAGAAACTTTTTCATGGGGAACACCTCATCTATTTAAACCATAACACCAACATTTATTTATTTCATTAAAAGTGTCTTTTAAAATATACATTTGTGTTCACATTCTTGGAAAGACATGAACAAATTTATTTGCCCTGTACAAATTTGTGTGAAAAGGAATCCATGTGATTGATTAGCTTTTCTTGGTTTAGAATTATAAAAAAAAAATCACTGAAGTATCTTTGCCTATTGAAAATAAAAGAAAACAAGGTACTATGGTTTAACACCAGAATTCCAACTGAGAAAGAAAGAGTATGAGATAAGACCCTGATAGCACCTGAATTTGAGTTAAGCAATTCCATGGAGACAAAAGGAAGGGATCATTTTGTTTCTCTATTGGGTTTAGTGAGAAACAGAAAGAAGGAAGAATATGAAAAATTGATTAACTAAATTCTTGGGTCCAAGCCAAATTTTGGTGGTTTATTTTTTTGTTTTGCTTTGTTCTATTTATGATTGAAACTTGCTGAATTTTTCAGTAGCCTGGTCTGTCAGCAGTATCTTGGGTCCCTTGGGCCTTGCCTGCAGGGCATAGAACTTTTAAGTAGAGGAAATATATTAGAAGTTTGATTGACTTGCCCCAGGATGTATAGTGAACCTAGAGGAACTCAACATTTATACTCAGTTTGGCCTCACTTGAAATTCTCTAGCATCAGAAAACCCAAATATTCACAAAAATCACATAATAATCCCTTAACACTCAGAATTGGAGCAGAGATTGGAAATATATTTAATTGGATTTACATAGAAAGGGAGCTTTGTATACATAATAATGTAATAATGAAATTATGAATAGTGAAATGTATATAATTTTAGTTCATCAGTCATTTCATCCATAAAAACATTGAAGAGAAAAGATGTTTAGGTAGTTTCCTAAGATAAACACCATGTGTTCAGGCTTGTGTTTTCAATTCTTTAAAATCTATATTAATATTATAATATGTATGCATTTATTCTCTGCATATCCTAGAAATTAATAAGAGAGAGGAATTTACCATACTGATGATGACTTTTCTATTTATCCTTGTAGTTATGTCTCTTTTGCTTTAAATACTTTGAGGTTTGGTTTTCAAAGCCTCATTCAAGTTCAGAATTGTTATATCTTTTTATGAACTTAATCTTTTATCATTCTGTAGTGAATCTTCATCTCTAGTATGCTTTCTGCTTTAAAGTACTTTTTGTCTAACATTAAAATACTGATAGCAGCTCTCTTTGAGATGGAAATTTACATAGACATCCTTTGATCATTCAACTTTCAGCTTTTTAGTGCTTTTATTTTTTTGTCATATTTCCCACTCTAATAACATTTATTTTTAACTTAAACATTTGGTCATTAATAGTTATTGTAATTACTTAATTATTTTAACTTATTCCTATCGACAGTAGCTTTCAAAGTCTACCAAAATAAAATACCACAGACTAGGTAGCTTAAGCAACATAACTTTATTTTCTCACAGTTCTGGAAACTAGAAGTTCAAGTAGATCGGGGTTTTGGCAGTTTGGTTTCTTCTTAGGCCTCTCTCCTAAACTTCAGATGGCCCTCTTGCTGGAACTTCACATAGTGGTTTTCTCTGAGCATATGAACCCCTGCTATCTGCGTCCAAATTTTCTCTTAAGAGGACATCAGTTAGATTGGAATAGGGCCCATGCCAACAGACTCATTCTAGCTTACTCACATCTTTAAATACTCTATCTCCAAATAAAATCATGCACTGAAGTATTGGTGGTTAGGTCTAAAACATATAAATTTGGAGGGGACAAAATGCATCCTATAACACTGTCAATAAATTTATTTGTCCTGCCTCTTCTATATTTTTTTCCTCTTCGTTCTTATATTTCATTATGTTTTGTCAAATGAATCTTTCTTTAATAATTGGAAGGTGATGTACATTTGATCCTCTTTGTTAATGATAGTCTTAAACGTATAGAAACATCTCTATCAGATTCCAAAGTTAATTCCTGTATGTACCCTCATTTTGAAGAATTCAAGGACAAGCAAACACATTAACCATAATTGCTCACTCCAAACATACATGACTATTTCAAAAATTTTAGACATATCTTATTGTAGAGGTAATTATTATTGTTTTATGCTGTTTAGATTTGTTTCTATTTACCTGTATACTCATAACTTTCTTCGATTTTAATTCTTTTATCTTTGATTTTCTAGCTGGAATCACTTCCTGAAATATATCTTGCAGATTTTTTTTTGAGCAAGAGACTTCTGTTAGTCAAGTCTCTCACTTTTTTTTTTCATTTGAAAATGTCAATATCTTGCTCACTAGAAAGATGTTTTCTTAGGGAGTACAATTCTGGAATGGTTCTTATTTTCTCTGGGTACATCAAAGATATTATTTCAGTCTTTTTGTATTTCTCAGTTTTATGTTGAGTCAGTAAGTCCTATAAGCCTCTGAACCTGAAAGATTGGAATTCATGACCACAAGGTCATGAAATCCTTTCTTAAATTTTCCTTAGGTTGGGCAAATACCTGCAGGACAAAACCAACTTTAGGGTTTTACTCTTATCTCAGGGTTCCTGCTTTTTTTTTTGACTTTGTCTTCTTGCCAGGGCATAAATGTACTTTAAAAGTTTGTTGTTGTTGTTGTTGTTGATTTTTTTTCCAGGTTTCATCCAAAATTTAATTCATTTTTAGTACAAAGGTAGTTTCAATATATACTTTGCCATTCTGCTGGTATATCTCTCATTGAGAGAGAAAGAAGAGTTTTTATGTTAATGGAATTCCATTTGGAAGTATAGGGCTCATTTTCATTCTCTCTTTTCTCTCTCTCTCTCTCTCTCTCCTCTCATCCCCCACCCATTTCTCCCTCTCTCTCTCTCTCTCATCCTTGGTGAGAAGAGGTCAAGCACCTTTAGGACTCTCATGTGGACAGCAGGGTTAGTTATTGATTTAATGGTATGAGAGTTCCAAGCAGTCTCTTTGGATTACTATTAATATGGAAATTGTGCTACAGAAACTAAAAAACAAATGGCTAAAAGCATAGGGAAATCTAAATTACTTTACCATGGAGTTATGTAGGGAAAACAAGGACTAAGAATTGAAATCTGTACAGCATTGCACACAGGGATAACAATGAATGCTAGCCACTCCTGCAAAATCTATGGAAAGTGACACATTGTTCCCTTGATCCCAGACCTGCTTCAAAAAATCCTTCTCAGCACAGTTTTTCCAGTGCCCAATTCCAAACAACCAGACAGGCAAGATGAAATCTATTAGCAGAAAATTGTATCTCTATTCTGTCATTTTTCAGTGGGGATATTGTTAATAAGATGTTTCTTTAGCTGCAGTAGGAAAAAAGACCCTTTTCTGTTTTCTAACTTCACTATGGAAAAGAGGTTTGGTTTTCAAAGCTTCCTAAAGTCACCCACGTTAGTGTTTCCTACAGTTGACTGCCCAAAAGACCCAACACAAAACAACCCAGTTACTTCTGAGGAGAAAAAGGAGTCTCGTAGGTTCTTCCAGTTATATAACTTTGCCATGAAATTATATAATTCATTCTAAATTTGAAAATAAATGCATTCTGAAGTTTTCCAGTTAGAATAGGGTTATTTTCCCTTTTGTTGTTGTTGTTGGTGGTGGTCTTGTTTTCTTTGAACTTGAGATAAAAAAAAATACTGTTGATTTAAAAGGGGAAAGACTATGGTCTGACATTTCACTCCCTCATTTCCTCTTTAGGGTCTGTACTATCTATCCCCCTTTCCCCATGGGCTCCTATTCTACTTCTTTACATGGCCTGCTTCTCTTCTCCTTCAATCTTGGTTTAACATCTTGCCCTCTTCATGGTCTTTTCTCATTATCTAAAGTTGCCTTCATTACCAACTCAATCTGTCCCTGATCTCCTTCTTCATCACTTAACTGCATTTATTACCTACCAGAAGTTTTCTTTCTGTTTTTATTCTCATAACAAAATATGGGCGGTCTGGACTTTGTCAGTTTTATTTATTACTCTATCTATCTTAGCACCTCTAATAGTGCCTGACATGTAGAAGGTGCTCAATGATATTTGTGAAGAAATGAATATGAATGAGAAATATTTCAGAGAATACAGCTTACTATGGAATATTGACCTATGAAGTTATTTTATAAAATAATTTTTAAATTCTCATGGATATGTTTTATTCTCTGTTCTACCTTGATAGCAGAAAATCTATAGTATTTCAAATGGGGAAAAAATGGAGTAGTTAGAAGGACAAATCAATGACCCTGGGTTTGAATCTCAATTTTGCAATTTACTAGCTCTGAGACATTGAGCATCTCAGTTTTTTTATGTAAAGAAATGACTAAAATGAAGATAATAATACTGAAGAGAAAGTAAATAAATTTATGTATTTCAAACACTTGAAATAATATCTTCTTAGTAAAAGTATTATAATGGTATTTTGATATTGCTTTACTATAAATGTGCATTATGTGCATACTCAGTTAACTTTTATAAGTGTTAGGAGAAAAGAGTAGTACCTATCTGTTAACATCATTGTAAAGATGAAGCATAAAGCACTTTTGAAACAGAGCTTAGCATATATAATGCTCAGCAACTGTAGCTTTTGTTATAATGTGCAGTGTACTCAAATGACTTTTATTCCTTTCCCTTTCCTTCCTTCTTCCCTTCCCTTCCCTTCCCTTCCCTTCCCT